GGCCACTTCTCAGTGTCACAAGAGTTCACAGGTATCACCAAAGTGAGCCGTATTAGCTAACATGCGAAAATAACCAGCCAAAGTTCAACATGCACCCTCTCATCCCTTGGACGTCCGGAAGAATCCGTATTTTCTGGGATAGAGGCCATCTTCTGCCAAGGTCACACAGACGCACGTCGCAACAGCCAACAACATGTCGCGGAAAATACTGATAGCTACAGCAACGGTTTTGCATTCTTGCATTCCACTTTCCAGTTATTACTTGAATAGTTGTTATCCTTCATTGTGATCAGAATATTCCAGTGAAAGTGCAGATGTGGTTGGTGCCGTCGCTATCAGTCGGGCTGGTGTCAGCAGGCATGGATTATCTCACCCGGTTGCCTTCCACCACTGGTTGTTTTCTACCCGAATCGATTACGATCACTATTGGTTGAGTGAGGCAGCTCAGGAGGCTGGTTCATTTGAACCTACTGACACCGCTTTACTAATTGCGACGAGATAACTCGAAATGTTTGCGGCGCACTGGGCGAATGTGCGCCCCATATCTTTAAAATAGTGCTCAATGGCAACTTTGTCTCCTGCAAGTGCTCTCACTCATTTAAGAATGATGTAAGGTCAAGGGGATAAAGCTCGGTGCTTTCGGCTTCGGAGGGTAATCTACACTTCCGTTACACTCTCTTAGTAGCTAGTGTTAACTTACATGCCACACCAAGACAAGCGAGACCTAAGGTCTCTTGTCAAGTGTAAACAAGGCTCCTGATATTGCACAGTTTTGCAAGAGCTCACGGCTCTCCACAAGGAGCACAAGCCGTGGCGATGGGAAGCACCAAAATGTCCCCACCAACTCTAACTGTGCCTTCAGCAGTTTAAATGGCAAAATAAAGGATACTCCATTAGTTATACTTCAAATTTCCATTAAGGCTGGATTGGAGTGGCTGAGTTATGTGTACTTCAAATGATGGATGAAGGACTTTCAAGAGAAGCAGCATGTGACAACATTTTCGTACTGAACAGCAAAGGTTTGATCACGAAGGAACGTGCGAAGACGCTCTCTCCCCGCCATCAGCAATTTGCGAAGGTTAGATATTAAGTTTATATAGAACAAAAGAAAAATAATTTCATGTAAACAGGGAGGAGTACCGCTACCCCTGCAAATGATAGGGCGTTGGGGGGGCATGATTTGGGGAACAGCCAGGGCGGCTTTTTTCCACAAAGTGACGAAATCCGGGAGACTCTCGGCTCAGAATTTAGATTTGCGCGCTGGGATGTAGGTAGGTCACCAGCGCGCGGCGGTTTCATGTTTGAGCTTGTTTACGTATCTGAACATGTTTACATGTTTGAACATGTCCTTAGAAGCTGGAAGATGAAGGAAAGAGTGAACACTCCAAACAAATTGCTATCCTTACATTCTATAAACCACTAATTCTGTGTCGTTTGTCGGTATGTATGTATGTATGTATGTCTGTCCGTCCGCAAAATGCTTCACGGGTTCAAACACGTCAGTGTAGGAGAGTGTACGACCGCTAGCCGGTGGCGAAACCAGTTGGTGCAGATGTATCAATCCAATGTTTTGATTGTGATAACACCCTGCACTATATAAGAGAACCATGTAGTGCACTCCAAACCATTGCACGAGCTGCTCGCGTGGCAGGTGGACGTGAGCACGTGCAGCGGCCGGGATGGGGAGTGGGTGGGGCAAGTGGGAGTGGGGAGGGTATAATGTGGGTGGGTGGGATTAGTGAGGGAGAGTACGGGAGGGGAAGCGTATAGTGCGTTTAGTATGAAACTCATCACCAGTGTGGTAATAAAAGCGCCAATGAAAGCGATAAGGTGAATAGAGGAAGGATCAACCGCAAGCAGAGTCGCGAATAAAATCCATGTTTTAGTATCACTTTGAGGCAATGTGTGATTGTTTACAATCTCACTATATAAAAGAATCATGTAGTGCACTCGTATGAACATATTGGTCAAAGATTATTGACTATCTGTATAAAAGAAAAGCCGGTGAGGAGAAGGATAAGTGCAACGGAGCCGGCTCAGCAAATCCATTCTTTACCTCAGAAGAAGGCGTGCAGGCATCAGCCGGCAAAGCCGGCTGGTACGTCATAATTGGCAAAATGCCAGGTCAGGACTCACCGCCGCGCCGCGCAACCAGGTCGCCGCGCGCGGTGACCTAGTTTCAAGCGCGGCGGTGAGTACTTCACACACCCATGAAATTCTGTGCCCACAACCATTAGGGAAAGGCTGTTAGTTGCAGTTTCAAAGTGGACAGTTTAATACTCTTATTGAAACTGATGGCTCTGAGACAGCTTAGTACCGAAATCAACTAGGTCCCGGCTCCGCCTACTAGCCACGGTGACGCCCAACTTTCTTTTTTGATGCAACCTGATGGCGCGAATGCCCTCTCTCCAATGATGAGAGTGAGGTGACATTTTGAAAAGGCTGACACCCACTAGTAGAACTCGTCCAACCCTCTCTTCGCCCTACATGCGTACAAACGCGGTTCAGCATGGAGTTCTATAAGGAGCATTCTGGATGGGTTTTTCTGTTTTTTCTCCACCTTCTATTGTTTGCCATCTTGAGACCGCGTGCTTTTGGATGAAAATAGCTGTGTACGCGATGCTGATCATGGACTTTTAAAGCACTGTGTTCACTTTCAAACTCACCTTTATGAAAGAAATTTTATCTTTGTGATCACGATCATGCACGATTTCAGGATCTTCCGGACACGAAAGGTCTTCTGGATGTGATCAAAATGGTCAAGCCAAACGCACTCATGGGTGAGCTGGCTTCTTTTCCTTTCATATCCACGGGCAAGTCGACTAGAGAGGGGATGACTTCAAGGGACTTCTTTTGCAAAATAGAGATTACCGGCGTTGCGAGACCCTTTTGAGGGGTTCACAGGAGGGATTGTCCACTACTGCTTCAGTTCACCCGGACCCACAGCCCTTTCGCTCTAAGCGTCATCTGAAAATTCTTATCCCTCGAAAGACAATCCTCTACACAAGGAATTTTTCTACTGCTCTCTTTGTCGACTTAGGCCCACGTCTTGTTCGCTTGGGATCACACCTTAGAAGATAATGTAGTGATAAAGCAAGTCGTCAGGTGTGTACAAATGATCCAATTGATGCTATCAGGCCATCCCAGGTATTTCAACGGTCTTCGGAGCATTTACACCAGAAATCCTCCGCGAAATGGCTGAGATCAATGCTCAACCAATTATTTTTGCTCTTTCGAATCCTACCAGCAAATCAGAGTGTACGGCTGAGGAAGCCTATGTTCACACCAATGTAATTCTTCTATTTATTCCTCCTTCAAAAAATTCCATGATGGACATTCATTTTTTCCAGGGTTCCGTGTTATTTGCATCTGGTTCTCCGTTCGATAACGTGGAGTTGAACGGGAAGATCTACAAGCCTGGTCAAGGCAACAACTCGTACATATTCCCCGGTATAGCACTGGGTGCTGTGCTATTCAAGCCAAAACGCATCCCTGAAAAAGCGTTCTTGATTGCAGCCAGGGTATGTTCAACTATATAGTTTTCAGTGCTTGTCAGCTAAATCTATCAGATGGGATATTTTTTTCCGTCCATGCCCACTAACGCAGAGTCCTCCCTATCAACAAATGTCCGCCGACCAGCCATTCAGCATCTGCAAGACTATAGTCTTGTTCGATGCGGATGCTAGGGCGTCTCAAGGGGAGGGGCGGCTAGGTTTGACCCAGCTCGTTTTCCACGTTTTCCAGTTGTTGTCGCTTGCTCCCTTGAACAACAGGTGAAGAACGGGTTGGCGCCGCACCAAACTCGCCGCCCCCCCCCCCCTCCAACAAGCACAAGCATTTACAGCGAACAAATTGTAGGTTTACTGGAAACTTGGCAATACTGAACTGTTCCTACATCAGAATCTTATGGCTAGGCTATTTTGTTAGATGGTTGCCTATAGGATTCCATACTCGCCCTGGTCAAGAATATTACACTGGTTTCTGATGCTGGCGCTATTTGTCGCCCATCTATTTCCACCAGAATTGAGATAAAGTTGAGCGCTAGGGTTATTTGACATCCTCATAACGAACATGGGATTCATCATCAGTTTCGGCTCTACGTACGGTGCTCCGGCAGTCTGCGATCTGCGAAGTCTGAGCCCGGGGCTAATACTAATACTACACTGAATAATAAGCCTAGGGTCAGCTTATTGTTAGCTGGCACTGGAGGAAAACGTGGAGGGCATGTTAATGGTGAGGACTGCCATTTAACCCCAAATGTAAGTTAGTAGAAACTGGATAGGAGAAGTTGTAGCGCCAAACCAATACTGGCATACAGTCGTACGGGCACTTGATTAGGCGGCCAAAAGGTCGCGACGCGGCTGCGGCGATCAGCTGTTTCCAGCCTGGTTTAGCCATTTTCTCCCTAATTTTCACTGTTTTTGGCTGCTTTTCTTGAGGTTAGTTGTTCCTTGTCTTCACAAGATAAATTATGATTGAGATTTCTCTGATTTTTGGCGAACTCAAACAATTAAAGATACGATTAAACAAACACCTAAAAAATCGCATACACTTTCATCACAAAAACATGAAAAGAGTTCTAACACACTTCATAAAGGCAATAACACAACTTACCTTA